TTGGAATGAAGTAAGTAGTTTATTTTTTTTTTTTTGGTCATGTGTTCATAAGTTCATTTATCTATTCGATGAACTCTTTCACTCATCTAATCATTGTTCCATTGCTTATGCTGAGTTTTGTTGCTGTATTTTTTGTGTTGTACCTTTTCGCAGATGACAGTGACTTGGACAAGTGGGTACAACATAGACGAAGCTGTTCCTTTTGTCGAGTGGGGTTGTAAAGGTCACAAAAAGACACGATCACCGGCAGGAACTCTCACATTTAGCAGAAACAGCATGTGTGGTATTCAATTATTCATTGACTTCTTTCATTTGAGATCATTTGAGCCCTTAATCAAAACAAGAACCGAAAAAAAAAAAAAATGAAGTGTCCCCCGCTTTCTTGAAGAGGAAGTGATATTCTTAGTTATAGTCTAAAATGTCTATTTTTTTTGTTTCCATTTTCTTTTTTTTTTTTGAAAGATGCACTATATCTTACGAATTATTCTCGGCTAATAGGATCACCTGCACGTACTGTTGGTTGGCGTGATCCGGGTTTCATTCATACAAGTTTCCTTAAAGATTTGTGGCCAAATACCGAGTAAGTTCTTAAAATGCTTGGTCGATCACTAATTCATGAAATTGTTGACTTGAAATAATCTTACTTGCACTTTTTTCTTTTTGCTTTTTTTTTTGGTCCTTAGATGCACTTACAAGATTGGCCACATATTATCCAATGGCTCCAACGTTTGGAGTAAGAAATACACGTTCAAATCATCCCCATATCCCGGACAAGATTCATTGCAGCGTATCATAATATTTGGAGACATGGGGAAGGTATTGAGTTTAAATTTAACGAGCTTTCTCCTTTTTTTTTGGCTTCTTGAACCAGATAATATAATTACAAACATAGATGCCACAAATGAAATGATCTAGTGTAGTGATCAGTTTAAACTAATGAACTCTCTTTTGTGCCTCTTAAACCAAATTATCATTTATTTTTAATTTTCCTAAATGTAATTGGTTTTACCTTACCGTGACTATTTTAGGCTGAGCGTGATGGTTCGAATGAGTATAGCAATTATCAGCCTGGCTCGTTAAACACAACCGACCAACTTATCAAGGATATCAAGAATATCGACATAGTTTTCCACATAGGGGATTTAACATATTCCAATGGCTACATTTCCCAATGGGACCAATTCACAGCTCAAGTCGAACCCATAGCATCTCGAGTGCCTTATATGATCGCTAGGTTTGTTCCTTTCTTCATCTTCCATAGAATACGCGTGGCGACGTTTTTATTTTTCCTATTAACCATTATAGAACAAATCTCGTGTTTTTATAAACAGTGGAAATCACGAGCGTGATTGGCCCGGGTCGGGTTCTTTTTACGACACACCAGATTCTGGTGGAGAGTGTGGTGTTCCGGCCGAGACAATGTTTTTTGTTCCTGCTGAGAACAGAGCAAAGTTTTGGTAATTAACACTACTTAAACTAAACCTCTTTTATGTTAAAATCATAGTGTGGAGTTTTTTTAGGATATATTGTGATTTTGTCAATCTTCGATTAATTTTCCTTTGATGCCAGTTTAACAGGAATGTGAGAAAAAAGAAATATTAAAGCATACTTGATACAATTTTTTTTTTTTTTAAATCAATCTCAACTCAACTTTAATTCAATCTCACTATCTCAATATTATGTCTCAGTATTATCTGTACGTTTAAATAATACCAATCAATCATTCTTACACATCACATCAACTTTTACTATTCATCGACTCACTTAATTTTAACTAACTATCACTTTCAATCACCTCTCTTCTACTTTTACATCAAATCAATTTTAGTTATTCTATTTTAATATTATTTTAATACAAAATCAAAATTCCACTCAAACCTAACCCAACGTACTTCTGAAGAACCAATAAAAAGAAAAGCTTATGAACGAGCCATCTTTCTTGTTTCCTCTTTCTTTTTTGCCTTCCTATAGTTGCTCCATCTGATTATTTCCGATATTTTTTTTTTAACTTTCCAGCTAAACACTTAACTACTTTTGGTCTCTAGAGCACTAAATTTAACAATCCACTTTTTTCAGGTACTCGACAGATTACGGCATGTTTCGTTTCTGCATAGCAGATAGCGAGCATGACTGGAGAGAAGGGTCCGAGCAGTACGAGTTTATCGAGCATTGCCTAGCATCTGTAGATAGACAAAAACAACCCTGGTTGGTATTTGCAGCCCATCGAGTTCTTGGTTATTCTTCGGACAAGTATTATGGATTGGAAGGCTCGTTCGAGGAGCCCATGGGAAGGGAGAGCCTGCAAAAACTCTGGCAGAAGTATAAAGTGGACATTGCATTCTATGGCCATGTCCATAATTACGAAAGAAGCTGCCCGATTTATCAGGTATTAAAAAAAATAAAAAATGTTTCAAACGATCATATTTTGCTC